AGCAAGTGGGGACTCTTGAATTGGCCTGCAGCTGGACTTGTGATAGTTACCTTTGATGAGGTCTAGTGTAATAAATATGCATTTTTTGTGAGTCTTTATACATGTTATTATTATTGTTAATATTGGTAATAATAAATATAAATATATAATAAATATATGGCAATAATATAAGTATATAACAAAATATATATGAATAAATTATTAAATTTTTATATATGTAATATTTATGCCGTTAACCATATTAAATAATATTAAAGCATTCTATACAAATTAATGTTAATAAATAATATAAATAAAATATAGACAAATACTTATATACATACATATAAAGAAATAAGAAATATATCGCAACAATATAAATATATAAAAAAAATATATATATTACAATAACTTAACATATTTAAACATTAGAATATATATAATATATATTAAATTAATTTGCATTATGAAACAGGCAGCAAAATTGTAAACCAATAATACTGCAAGGGTGCCCTTAAGGTATGTAAATCTTCATTAAAAAAAATCTATAGTCATTTTCATATTTCACTAATTTTACACCATCAATAATTAATTTTGCATTTTATACTTTATCATTTCAGGTTAATGAACTGAAAAATATGCAAAAAAAAAAAAAGACATGGCAAGCCTTCATTCATAATTCATAGAGTAGTGAAGCTGAACGATTTCGGTACCAATATTCTTATAAACTTTAAAAGTTAAAATAAAGCAGTTGGAAGAGAAAACCATTCCAAATTTAGGAATTTATCAACCCAAAACATTTCTTTGCTTTTAAGTGTAAGCAACACTCAACTCGTAACCATAAAAGCTTATACAGCTCTCTGGAACAAAAAGTTCAAAGTTCGCTGCCTCTTTTTGTGTTTCAGCTAGAGGGCTGAAATACAAGTTACAATAGTGCACCGTCTTTCAGATGAGACATTTAAGCTGTTGGTCCAGTGTGCATTATGGCCCATGTGCTCATTAAAGAACACAGTACACTCTTCAGAAAAAAGTAGGGGATTGTCTCCCTTTGTACTGCCCAATCACCACCAGAAGGACCCCACTGGAAATAAGTTTTCCTTGGTGTTTACACCGAATAAATCCAATCCAATTAACCTGCTTTCCATGTGTTTTTGTTAATGATACATCATATTTTATTAAATCCAGAAATTATTTTTTGACACCTACAACAAAAATTTAGGATACCGAAATGAGGCCCTGGCCTGTGGAAGTTCAATTCTAACTTTTTAAATAACGATGCCTATTGTATTGTGAAATAAAATAAATTATTAATATTTCAAACATAGAAAAAGACACATTAAATAAAAAGATTTAAATTTGAATTAAATGAGGTGCGAGTTATAGAATATTCCATAAATTAATTATATAAAATTAATAAAGAAATACAAAAAGGAAAGCTAGGCAAAAACAATAAAACAGTCAAATCAAAACCATGATGAATTAAAAAAAACTAGATTTGAACTCGTCACTGAGGACGAGTTAGGTGATCAGCTTGTCAGGCAAGAGATATCTCCCGGCACTTAAAATTATGATTTATGGAAAAATGCCGTAGCTAGGATTGTCAAACTGTTCAGTTCAATATCAAGTCTGCGCCCTCTCCCGGGTCGTCAAAGAATTATAAAAAGGAAGAGGTTGGGGATAACCATGATGATGTCATCAAAGTGAAAAAAAAATGACACATTCCCCTACACCTACAAAACAAAACAGGGGTTTCAGCAAGGACTGCACATTATTGCTATTACCACTAAAAACGCATGTCGCATGAATTGCGTGGTCGGATAAGCATGTGTTCTAAAGAACATAAGGTTGTGGGTTCAAATCGCGTATAGATATTCAATATTTTTTTTTTCAATTTTAAGTTATTTTTTATCAATTTTATGTATCTTAATTTTTAATTCAAAATAATGATTATTTTTTGTACAAATAATCATTCTATTTATTTAAAAATTTCTATCTTATTAGCTCTTCCAAACAACCAAATATAGTAACTTGCGCCTGTACCGAAGAAAAAGTGAAGCCGCCGACGCCATGTTGGAGGGCCTAAGTGACGTACCAGTTTAGAAAATTTTCCATTGATATCTAGTTTAAAATTATAGTTAAAAATAAAGATTCTTGCAATAGTTTTCAACATGGTGTTGGTGGCCTCACTAAAACCAGCCAATGAGCAATCCAGCTATTATAGTAGAGATCAGTGGGACCATGTGAGCGGTCGCTCTTGTTTTGTATTCAGAAGGCAATATGATAACGTCACAATGTCCGATCAGAAAATCATATCTACATCTCATATATGTAATAAAAATTGGGGGTCACCTTTCATCCTAAGGAGATATAACTGATTTAAAATAGGCATGATATTGAGCTTTTAAAAATTTTAATGCACGCATACGCGCACATTATGATGCACACATGGAAAATTAAGGTACATGACATGTACCTCTTGACCTGAAGTTTTATGCCCATTAAATGTGATTAGAAATGTTAATTGGTTATGATGATATGGGATCATCAAAGTCTTGAGAAAAGAAAGATGAGGGGGTGGGGGTCAGAAAAGACATTTATTTTGACCATGATGACGACATCAAAATGTAAAAATAGTCACACTTTTTAAAGAGAATTGTCTCAGCTATAACATACTCAAAGTTATGAGACGATCGATTAAAGATAAGTGAGATACGCTCAAATGAGTATTTTAACAAATGACGTCATAGATAAAAAATAAGTTTTTTTATTTCAGATGGCAATGTGATGACATCAAAATGTCCGATCAGCCATTATGATCTATTAAATAATATCTACAAATCATGTGCTTTAAGAATAAGTAATAAAAATTGGGGGTCATCTTTCATCCTAAGGAGCTATAACTGATTGAAAATATGCATGATTTTGCCAAATTTTCATGAAGCGGATCACCAAAAATATTTATTATTTAGAATCTCAAGGAACTCAATATGATCCATAGTGAAATGGATTGAACAAGGAGAAAGAAATAATAAGTACTTCTTTGGTCATAAGAAAAGTAGTAAAGCAAAAAGACAAAATGAAATAAAAAAATCTGATGAACACGTCTACTATACACTAAAACACTGGAGAACAAGTTAACTTTCTCCAATTTCTACTTGGCTTCCTAGATTGCGCATATTATATTTTTAAGAGACTGAAATTTATTCGATATTCTTGCAAATGGACAGTTTGTCTTTGGAATGAATGATAATTAGGAAATAAATTATGTATCCCATCTGTACCGTGATATGAGGAAAGTTGCTCACTTTATTACTGCATATTTTTATATTTCTGTAACATGTAGGATGGGGCAACGGCATTGTACATAAGTGCTCAAAATGGTCATACAGATGCTTGTAAACTTCTTATTCAATCAGGAGCCAACAAGGATATTCAGGCGGAAGTAAGTGTGATGTTACATTTTTTTGTGTTCTATTAAATTTTTGTATATTGTATATTTAAGAGACTGAAATTTATTCGATATTCTTTGCAAATAACAATTTGTCTTTGGAATGCACTATAATTAGAAAATATATGATGTACCCAATTTGTACCAGATACCATAAGAGTGATATGTGATTTTAAAGCAAAAGTGCTCACTTATTAAA